GGAATCGTTCGGATTGAAGGAGGGGTAAATCTGAACGTCGACGGCATATAGGTGGTATTGACAGTGCAGGATTGAGGATGGTAGGTCATTTATATAGATGGAAAAAAGGGCGGGGGATAGGGAAGAACCTTGTGGGACACCTCTGGACAAGGGTAGAGATACTGATGGAGGGCTATTAGGGATCACAATATACTGGGAATGACCAGTTAGGAAGGATTGGGACCAATTAAGAGCACTAGAAGAAAAGGATATATTTTTAAGTTTGGTTAGGAGGATGTTGTTTTCCTACTGAATCAAAAGCTTTGAAGAAGTCAAGGAGAATAAGGATGGTTAGTTTCTGCTGATCTAAGTCTGTTTGAAGGTCTTGGGAAATTTTGATTAGGGCAGACTGAGTAGAATAGCCAGGTCTGAAGTCGGACTAAAAAATTGAATAGCTGTAATTGGACTGGTCGTTCTAAAGGTTTGGAGAGGTTTGAAAGCAGAGAAATTGGACGGAAATCATTAAAATCTGATGTGTTAGAGGTCTTCTTCAAGTGACATACTAGGGGGGTTTTCCAGGATGTAGAGAAGATAGCATTATGAAAAGAATAATTATAGGCTTTGATCAGTCTTACTGGAATGTTATCGGGACCATAATCGTTGGTATGAGATTTCTGAATGGAGTTTAAGAGATCATCAGGGGTAATGTGGGAAAAAAAAGAAGTGTTCAGGGTTAAAAGAGAAAAACATGGGAGCCGGATCGGACGCAGGAGTTGTGGTTGTGAAAGGGAAGGAAACAAAGTGAGCGTTGAGCTTATCGGCAGAAACGGAAATGGACGGGGACTGAGGTGTATTACCAATGGTCAGTTTTCTGAGAATAGCCCAGGTGGCCTTGATATTAGGGCAGTTAGATAAGGAATGCTAGTAGTAACGGGATTTAGCACGGCGTACTGCTGATTGAGTGCTGTTTCAAAGCTGGTTGAAGGAGAGAAAATCTTCATGAAGTCGAGTTCATGTCGCCTTGCAGCATCTCTTTCTCTCATACACTCTCTTGAAGCAGAAGTAAGCCAAGGAGCGGAAGGATGTCGGATGGTTTTTGTGATAAGAGGAGTATGTTGGTCGAGGATAGAGTAAAGTTGAAAGGTAAGGGTTTCTAGCATGGTGTCGATGGATTTTGAGGAGTAAATGGGATCCCACTGGATATCGTCAAGATCTTTTGACAGTGTTTCATGAGTGAGAGAATATAGGTTTCGGAAGGATATTGTTCGGGAAGAAAAGGATGGGACAGGGATATTGTAAGAAATCTAGATGAGATCGTGGGAAGATAAGAACGGGACCGGGTGCTGAGATGCGGCAAGGAGTTTGTCTGAGGAATCTATAAACAAATCGAGCCAGGACTCAAAGAACTGCGTATGGTGGGTTGGGTTGTAGGGTACTATGTAAAGACTGAGAGAATGGAGGAGGCCTGTTAGGTAGGAATAATCGGAGGATGGCATTAGTAAATTAATATTAAAGTCTCCGGAGATTTAGATGGCATTTGAGTAGGAAGGGATTACATTGTACAGAAAAGTTTCAAATAATTCATCAAAAGGAATTCTAGGAGGGCGATATATGACAGCAAACTGAATTGTCGATGAAGTTGTGATGATTACGGTAAAGAGGTAATCCATGTGCGGTGAATTGGTTGAGGAAGAGCAATGAAGGATTTTGGATTTAAGATTGTCATGGACAAAGAGGCCTACTCCACCCGTACGGTCTACTCTGTCATGACGAAGGAGACTAAGGTTAGGTAGAAGGATCTGGGAAGATGGGATTGCGTGTTTCAACTAGATTTCGGTACGACAATTAAATAGTAGAAATTATGGAGAAAAAAAACATAAAATTGGTTAAAATGGACTAAGAGTGACTGAGCGTTGACAAGGCAGATTAAAAGGATATTACTCATGGATAAAGGAGATGTTGCTGTCATATCTAAGCTTCAGGATCTCTCCTCCTTCCTTCGGTATCCCATCCTCCATTCATTCGGATCAGGGCTCAAGCTTCATGTCGACAGAATTGAAATCTTTTCTGTTTGAATTAGGAATATCTTCTAGTAGGACAACACCCTACAACCCGCAAGGTAATGGACAGGCGGAACTATATGTTGTCATTGTATGGAAGACAATCGAGTTGGCATAAAAGAATTGGGTACTTGATTCAACAAGATGGGAAAGTGTTCTAAATGAGGCTCTACGCTCTATCAAATCTTCGCTGTGTACTGCTATAATGCCTCCCCACATGAAAAGTTCTTCAACTTACCTCGAAGATTTTATAATGGAATAACAACACCCTCTTGGCTATTAAACACCTGACCTGTTTTATTGAAGAAAACGGTGAGACATTCAAAGTATGACCCTATCGTTGAAGAAGTGGAACTTATTGATGGGAATCCTCAATACTCTTTTGTGAGAATGTTCGATGGGAGGGAGACAGAGGGAGTCAGTATCTTATAGACTTCTGGCACCTCCAGGCTGAATAATAGAACCACGCATTGAAGGAGATTTAGCTACCATCTCTGGGACACAGGTGTTATCAAGCCCTGGCGAGGTCCTGGACAATCAATCTGCATACAAAATCCCATCAGAAGAAGGATAGATAGAAAACAATGAATAACCAGCAACTTTTAGAAAACGCAGACGAGACTTATGAGCCTCCTTAATTCCTAAGAAGAAGTTGTGGAATTAAGAAAGCTTCTTCCTACTTGAAGGACTACTATACTTGAGATTGTTTATTGGTTTATTTTTCATTTTCTTGTTTATTTTTCTAAATGGGGATGAATGATATATGATATATTGTGATTTAGTTATCAATTGTTTCTAAAAACATATGTTAGTTGCTTAACCTTATTAGTTTAGTTAATCATTCCTTATTTATCTCTATAACAAAAACCATATACTGGGTGTCCCGTAAGTAGAGGGAAATATTTAAAGTAGTGATAGCAGAACTCAATAAATTCAAAAAAGTTTAATTAAACAACGGTTCGATTTTCAGCAGAAAAGTAGGAAATTAAAGTTTTGTGATTTTTTATGTAAGTCAAGTTTTTTGTTGAATAGGAAGTGACAAAAAAAAAACTATTTAAGTAATTAACGATTACTTCACTGTAAACTAGGCAAAATTTACGCTAAATAAAAATAGATTTTGCTTATGTTGAGCCATTTAAAGAGGACTTTTGAGCGGCTAAACTCAGCTAAGGAGTGGGGAAAGATGGGCAGTGGTGGAGGAAAGGGTAGAGGTGGGGGAAGCACCTTCCTGGATCCGCCGCTGATCTGTAGTATACGCTTTTTATATATCCGCCACTAAATATTTTATACCCTAATTTAGCATCAAGGGATTATAAGTTTGATAACGGATAAGCACTAATAAGAGTGGATTTATTGACAGACTGGGAATAATATATGACTAGCCTCAGCGATGCTCTCAGATTAGTTATGAAACCACGTCTTTGATATATGTAGAACCACGCGAGGATTAATGATGAAACTATTTATCAATCAATTTCCGATTTGAGTACAAGTTAATAAAACTAAAGGTGCAGTCAGCTTTGCGCATGTCAGATTGTATAACTAAGGGAAGGTCACTTCTCCACAAAATTCACTTTTATTTTGACGTACTAGACGGAAACCACATCGGCACATAAATTTACAACAATCTTGAATAATAGAATAACGATAATTGTTAATTTATATTTGGTCCGTCTAAATATAAACATCATACCGTCGACGAGACGTGGTCAGTAGATGTCATTGTGGTTAATTATGTTTTGGTTAGTTGACTAGCAGTGAATTTTATATGTTTGAACTACTTTCTGAGAAATAATATAATTGCCTGAACTGCTTATATCAACTAACGCTCCTGCGCTTATTCCATTGATTAAAACAGAATGGTAGAATTTGATAAACGTTAAGAATGACAACTACTAGGGAAGCAACAGTTGATACGGTGTTCAAACTCATCTCATTATGTTGCGTAGTATATCTGCATACCTTCGAATAATGCTCCTTTTCCTCATAGCTGTTACATGCAGTTTCATGTGCTGCGCATTTCCTTCGAGGATACTTTACCGAAAGTACAAAGAACCAACACTTATTAGATGAGCTCGTAAGAGAGGCTACTTCAGCTTCAGCGTCGTTTTGAATACGCTTTTGCGGAAGATGGTCATGTGAAGGTATTTGATTCTGTAGGGTAAAATAGGTATGTTCAGACAAAGAATTCCTGAAATTGTATGTAGACGTTTAGGGACTGGTCTGCTTTTCAGCTGCTCCCAGGGTTTGCCTGATTATAAGCTCCGTTTATTGTTAATGATTAACTTTCCAGCCCAAAAAGGTTGTCTAATATTTGGAAAAACAAGTCCACGTATAAATGAGTCTCGAATATAATCGTCTCTACAGCTTTAAAATTGCAATCCTTGCTGAGTTCTTTTGGTCCACGAACTGGACAATACTCCTGCCGTTCTCTTGTTTCATCAAAACCAACTGATGACAAGAAAAACTCCATTTTTTGGTTTCGCAAAATGTTTGCTGAGTGCGTAAATAGCTTCATTGAATGTATAACAATCTAAAATTATTTCCAAAGTTTACAGGAAACAAAATTAGGAAGTAATTTCAATTTATCTTTTACGAGATAGGTCTCTTCGGTAAATTTCTCAAATGTTGTCTTCCATTGATGGAAGGCCGGAGTCTGTTTGGGTCTAGTGAGAGACGTTTCCGCTTAAAGAATCTGTCCATTTTCAACTGATACCTACAGAAACTTTACTGTATAAAGTTTTTGTAAAATGAATTATATAGAAAAAATGTCTCGTATAGAAAGGTTTTATTTAATAAAAACTAACAAACTATTAATAAATTATAAATCAAGCGTGATTATGCAATTAGTTCATCTAGAAATATATGTTATCACATTACAGATATTCTATAGTATGTTTCTTCTCTGAAATTAAATACTTAAGAAGACTTTCAGACCACACCCTTTCAATATAATTTGAACGCATCGCTATTGGTTGTTGGGTAGGTTTCATGTTTTCATGTTTAGTTGTCAAACTTATTGACTCAAGTAGTTAACTAATTAATCTCAAGTTTCGAGTGTGTTTTGTTTTTCGGCTCTTTCATGGAACGATACTTTAATCACTTTTTAAGTTTAAAATTGTTTGTAAGGTATTTTGTCCCAAATGGAACGCTGTACCGATAGTTATGAATTATTGGCTCTTAACGTGAGCGAAACTACAACAGATGAAGAAATAGAACGGCTAGCTAAAAGGAGGCAGACTCGAAGGTAAATGGAATTACTGGATAGTTCTGATAACATGATGAATAATAAGATCTCTTATGACATTGTTGGTATAATCCAAAAATTAATTTATTGCTCTAAATTGTTTCAGATGAGAATAATAAATGAAGAGAAGAATAGTTGGGACGATCAGTCAAATAGTATTTGACAGTAATCAGTCTGTATATGACTGATCACCCCAACTATTCTTCTCTTCATTATTCCCAACAGTCAACCATTACCCACAATTGAGAATAATAAATCATAGAAATACATTTTAAAAAGAGCTATAGTTTTAAATAACACCTAATAATTATTATTAATTAACATTGGATTAGTAATAATTCGAAGTATATGCCTTTTTAATTTTTGTTAATAATTTACTTTATCATTAATCCAATTTATTGTAAGTTGATTTGGACTTCTGTAAACTGTTGTCTTTTTAAAATTATGGACAAATGTTAAAATTGGTCTTTTTCTCTTTAAATTCTCCTTTAACAATATGTTAGTTTATTCCTAAGCTGATCATTAAAACTGTTGTTTATTTTTTTTAAATACAAGGGGAAGTTATGGTCAGTGGGTCACCAATTTAAACAAAATTTATTTTAATGATGAAAAATAGTCAGTATGTACTGTCAAATATTTCTTTATTTTGTTTGCTGAAGTTTCAACCCAAACATGTGGGTTGAAACATTGGCAAACCCAATAAAGAAATTTCTGACACACATCCTGACCTTTTTTTATGTTTATAATTTCAATATTCAACTACACCCATCTACAAATTTATTTCAGTGATTCTATATCGAAAAATATTAGACAACATTTGTGTTTTTGTTGTATTAGACAAACAGCGTTTGTTCCAATGGGACTTAGCAGCCGAGTAAAAAAAAAGTTATGGCTTTATGTAATTTATTTTTTCCTTTGCTTTTCCCAAATTTCTGATTATTATATATCTAGGTTTGATTCAATATTGTGCTCATTATAGGTATAGCTAAATTAGACTGACCGACATGGCTATATGGAAGTAAAAACTTTTTTTATATAGATTGGAAGATCATTCATTCAGCTTCCCAATGGTTGTAGATTCTTTCTAAGATAAGTTTGTGGATGAGAAGAGGGAGAGAGAGATGCGCAGTGGCTAAACATTTTCCTGCCTATCTCCCACTCTTTTGTCTTTTCTACTCATACAGTGATGGAAAAAAGTATTTGCACAACACGTTTTTATGAATAAAGTAGTTGAAGGAAACAAAAACTTTGCTTTCCTTTGCAAAAATGAAAAGTAAATTTATTAAAAACTGAAAAAAATGTTTTACAAAAAAATAAAAACACTTCATAATCAAACAAAATAATTAAAACAATAAAAGTGCTTGGAAAAAAGTATTTGCACACTTCTATATTTACAAGTTTATTTTAAATTTTAACAGTTCTAATATTTTGTAAATAGGACATTTGCGTCAATAATTGCTTGTAGGCGTCTGGGCATTGAATGCACTATATTTTTAATTAAATCTACGTTTATTTGTTCCCATTCTTGAACAAGAAGTTGTTTAAGGTGATGTCCACTAGTGATATGGTGTTTTCTTTCATTTTGGTCAAGGGTGTGCCATAAATTGTCAATGATATTTATATCTGGTGACTGAGGAGGAGTGTGGAGCTGTGTTGGAACATTAAATATTAACCACTCTTTTGTTCTCCTCGCATTATGTTTTGGATCGTTGTCCATTTGGAAATAGTATTGATCCTGGATTCCCATTTTTTCGGCACTAACTCGCAAATTACATCGCAAAATGTTCACATAGCCTTCCGCATTTAAAATGCCTTCGATGCTCACAAGATTTCCCACGCCATGCTAGGAAACACATCCCCAAACCATAACATGTCCTCCACCATGCTTTACAGTTGTTAAAACATTTTGCTTCTTTAGGGCTTCATTACGGTTTCGCCATATCGTCCTTCGACCATCTGAACCAAACAAATTAAATTTGCTTTTGTCAGAAAAGATGACATTTCTCCCAAAGCTTAAGGGTTTCTGTACGTACTACCTAGCAAAAGCAAGGCGCTTTTTACGATTCGTTTCACTGATGTATGGCTTCTTTCTTGGAACTGTACCATGGAAACCTTCCGAATTCAGGGCATATCTAATTGTTCTGCTAGTAATCTGAACTCCAGACGTTGATTGGACCATGTTAGCCAGCTCCCGAGAATTTATCAGAGGATTTTTAAGAGCTTCTTTTCTGATTTTCCTCTTCAGCCTGGGAGTTAACTTTTGTGGACGCCCTTTACGCTCACTATTTTCAGTTAAACTACGTTCTTCATACCTTTTTATGACGTATCTCACTGTAGAAAAATTCAACCCTAAGAAATCGGCAATTTGGCGATATGTTTTTTGCTGAGTCCTCAGTTAAACACCTTTTCACGAGTTGCGGCACACAGTTCACTTGTCTTTGGCATGATCATTGTCTATTGACTAAAGGAAACTGATTGAAAGACTAGAGAATACTGGTAATAAACGATTAGAGATAAATTAGTAAACAAGCCTATGACCTATGGACCCAGGAGGACTAATGCCAAATTAAACAGAGCTTGTGAGTCATAGTGTGCAAATACTTTTTTCCAAGCACTTTTATTGTTTTAATTTTTTTGTTTCATTATGGAGTGTTGTCATTTTTTTCCAAAAGGTTTTTCTCAGTTTTTAACAAATGTACTTTTAATTTATGCAGAGGAAAGCGAAGTTTTTTGGTTCCTTGAACTCATTTATTCATAAAAACATGATGTGCAAATACTTTTTTCCATCACTGTATGTACCTCTAAATTTTTATTTACAAGTAGAAATTTTTTTTATTATTTTTTTCCATTTCTTTTCCTATTTTCTACATTGATCCACAGTAGTATTGTTTGTTTACATACTGTGATTCATTTGATTCGAGTCTACAGTCTAAAATAATACATAATGTGGACTATTATCTTTTTCTCTTTGTTTACATTTGTAAGTAAATGAAAAAGGCTCCTCCCCATTATTGAATATCCGATTGCACTAGCGGATCCAGCCAGGGGGGAGGGGGGTGCGCCCCTCCCCCTTGGAATCTGAAAAAAAAAATCCATAAAGCACCTTTTAAAAAAAAGAGAAATATAGGAAAAATTCATCCTCATATACGATGAAGATTCGAAAATTTCCACTATCGCAATATTTTCCTTTACTATTTATTACTTAAATAGGCAAGTGAAAATAAAAAAAACAGGTGCATCTTCAATTAGGGTGTCTTATATTCAATGTGATATGGTAATAATTATCTGGTACAATATACCTGAATTATAGGTAATCAAGTAGATTGTTTTATTGGTTTGACATTAATTCATGAATTTTAATCATAAACAAAAAAAAAGTTAATTTCTACTGAATTCTACTACTGAAGTTTTAAAGTAATATTACCATCAAAGGAATTCTTTGATTGGTAGTGGACTGTGACTACTATTCATTAACTATGAATAAACTTCATGTTGTATAGTAATGTTATATTCAGTATTGCATGAATGTCTAGTAATGATGTATTGATGTTTCTAGAGCAGGAGTCTCCAAACTCTTTGGCCTGAGGGCCGCATTGAGACTACCACCCAAATACCATGGGTCATGACTTGTGATGAAAAAAAAATCTTGTTCAATAAATGACCCACCCTTTAGTTGTGAAATGAGCTTTTTAAAACAAAAAACAAGCAATTAATGTTGCAGTAACCTCGAATATGAGTAATTTGCTAAATTTCATATTTTTTAAATTTTATCATGTTATCAAAGAATTGGAGGTGCTTCTAAGTCATAGTTTGGAGAATCCTGATCTAGAACAATGATGGTTTTTAACTCTTTATGATGTTAGTTTTCATTTTTAGGAAACGGCGCTCAAGAACCCCTATTGAAAAACAAAGCATACCTTCTTCATCAACAAATAAAAATGTGTCGGTGCCTAAATTTTGTTGGTATATTTTATGCTTGTTTTTCATTGGAAACATACTATGGATTTCCGGCCTAACATGGGCAGCCACACAATTAAGAACTGATGTGCAAGCACTGAGAAACGTAACTGAATCAGGTAAAATTTCCCTAAACATCGACCTTTCTATTGACGTAGTTGATGAATTTTCTTGATTTAAAATTGATAATTTTGTAGGCATACAACTAAAACCGGCCAAGTCATTAATTTCTTAAGTTTTTTCATTAATAATTATATAAATGAATGGCTAAAATAATAACTGAGTAATTGCTTTTACATTGTGACCATAAATTGATGGCCAAGCTTAGGAAGGATGAGGGAACAGAAATAAAATAGAAGTGTGGAGGAGTGGACTCAACCCTTAATTTATGGTTGCAGTATAGGTCCTAAATTCAATGCTGCCATATTGATTATATAGTTTCAGCATATAGTTAGTATGTTCAAATAACCTTCACATTAATCTACCAACTTGGAGCGGGTCAGTATGTTCAAATAACCTTCACATTAATCTACCAACTTGGAGCGGGTCGTGTAACTATTCAGAACGCCAATCGCCACTTTGCTGTCTGCGGAAATCAAAATCAATCTATTTGTAACTCCCTCCCTTATTGGTGATTGAACACAGATGCCAATAGCTGATACCTTGGCCTCAAATAAGAATCTAGAGATAAGAATATTCCCTCATTGGATTTATTCCTTCTTCAGAAGCCAGCACCTCATCCTGGATCCGTCAAGGTAACTGTTAACTCCATTACATAGTCTGTGAGAGTTTGACCTGCCAATCACAGCTCTATAGTGTATGTCTCTAGATTTATCAACTTGAAGGTTTAAGGTCATTGCGAGCACCTTGTTACTGCCAACCTTATCGAACACGATCCAATGTCCCTGAAATGTCAAGAATTTTGATCTTGTTCCCACTTTATCCATTCTATTGGCAGTTCTAAGACCATGTGCTTCCTGCTTCCACCTCTGTGTGCAGTGGTATCGAGTTCAAAAGAACTTCTATTGCAGCGGTGGGAGTAGTGCTCATTGCTCCAGTCTTCATGAGAGACACAAGCCTTTAGCGTTTTCTAAGCAAAGCTCTGGGCTTGCTTGCTGCAGCCCTATGCCACCACACCAGCTGCATAAAGAACTAGGATTTTCATATTGCAATGACCAATTACTGCTTATGAAATGAAAATATATTTTATTATTCTGGGACTGTTGTTGCTTTACAACAAATTATAAGTACATAATGCATGTCTGTGTGGTCATAAATAAATTAAATATTTACAATAATAGTTAATTAAAAATAAAAATATAGAAAAAGAGTAGTCGTCTATTTCTTTTTGTAGGGAATTGAAAAATGAGTCCTTTTCAGCTGTTCTTGCACTATCATTTGGCCCATATGCAACTATCAAAGAGTGGATTTCTTTCCCCTCAATAATGTCTAGGATCATGATTCGATCGCTCACAAATTTCCAACTTTTGATTCCTGATGCAAGATCATTATGATACATGATCCCTGCTCCGCTGGCTCCTCTCTCTCTCTCTCTCTCTCTCTCTCTCTCTCTCGTTGACCCCTGAGTACAGAAGAATGTAGTTCTGTTTCTTCAGTTTGCCTTTTCCTTTCCTATTCATTTCGGTGATGCCAAGTATATCCACTTTGGCCCTTCTAATGTCGTCCACGAGTTCACTCTCCTTTCCATTCAAACCCCGTACATTCCAGGTAGCAAGTCGTATAATCCGTTTTCCGCACCTTGTCATATTCCTTAAGTTCAATCCAGCTCTAATTTTCCGTTTGTTTGTGATTAGACTTATTTTAGAGGAGTAGGTTATCAGCCCACTGCCCCCTAGTCAGGTGGAGGGGCTGCCTCCTTAGAGCATCCTGACCTGTCCATTTCTATTTTTAGTTCCCTCCTTTAAGTCCCATTGTACCATGCAATCCTCTTCCAATCCTAGCATTTAGGTCCCCCATTATTATTACTTCTCTTCCTATGTCATGACTTCTCCTGGTTTCCTTTTTCAGTTCGACATAAAATTGCTCTTTTTTAAATATATCGGCATCCTTTGTAGGTGCATATTCCTGTATTACAGTAACCCTGCCTATTGACAATTGCATATCAACAGTTATAATTCGAGATGAAACAGGATTCCATTTTTCAACCTTTGAGTAAATGCTCTCTTTAAAGATAGTACCTACTCTTGTTCCTTTTGGTATTCCTGAGTATACAAGGGTATACTTTTTGTCCAGTATTGTCTCTCCACTTCCTTTTCTTTTAACCTTTTCGCTGCTGCGAGTGACGAGGTTTACGTTTACCACAGTGCTAATTAAGATGGTTACCAGCCAACCTGCCATACTTTTTACCTGTTTTCCACCCTTCATTACCGGCTCTGACCACTATCTTTTAATCTTATTTTATCGTTTCCATTCTCCTTTTTGATTCAGGCTGTTGACCGACACTGGTGGAATTAAAACTTTTTAATTTTATTTATTTATTTATTTTATTTTTGATTTGTTTAAATAATTATTTAATAATTTAATTTTTTATGGTATTCTTCGAAACATTTGCCAATATAAAGAAAAATCTTACAATTGTGACATTCTACCTTAGTTTTGCGCCAAATATTTTTTTATATTATATTTCTTTCGGCAGTAGTTATGAATTCAGCAAGTTCCATAGTAGTAAACCTCTGTTTCTCCATTTTAAAGAAAATAACAAAGCAAAAAACAAAAGCAAAAAGAGACTAACTTTTAACTAAAATAATTTATTCTATACGGCCACATAACTAACTAAAGTAATCTTAATTGATCTAATTTCTAACTAAAATAACTAGACTAAACTAAATAGCATTTTTATAAACTCAGAGCAATTGAACACACAGTTGTTTCACACAGACGGCAAAAACAAGAATGAAAATGGTAGAGACAGCCACAGCAAAGCCATACCAGGTAGTCATCCATAACAGTTCATGAATTCTTCAAAAAAAGCTACAAAATAAATCCCCACACCATCTGTAGACTCTACTAGCAAACCAGTAAAATGTAGCAAGGTCGCAGCGGCTATACTCGACATTAGCAAGGAATAAGGAGATAGAAATAGTAGGGAAACTCCACATTAGCAAGGAAAAGCAGTGGAATGTCTAGCCGACATTAGCACTAAGGATAGGAGTGGGGTGTGACTATAGCCGTCATTAGCAATATGGGCACGCTTAGTTGCGGCAGCTATAGCCCTCATTAGCAGTTAAAGGGTTAACTTCATTTATAGCAAGGACATCTACCTTATATTTTTCCATTTCCTCTACTATTTCTATCTCCTTTACTGTAAGTGGCCTTATGTTCCAAGTTGCAAAATGCAAGTCCTTAATCGCTCCATATCGTAACCGTTTATTCTGTTCAAATTCAAGGCTGGCAATGTTTCTCTGAATCGAATTTACTTCCTTATGGGTTATTGATTGATTATGAAGGATCCTGTCAGCCCAGGATCACTGTCGTGACAGAAAGAAAGGCACCAGGAACCCATCCTGGGACGATTACTCCTTCCACAGCCCCTTTTCTCGTTTGTTCATCGACCCAGCCCTCACCAGGGATTGGTTACCACTACCTCAGACTGGGTTGCTCGGCTTTTGCAGGGCCTACCATGAGCAGGCAAGGTTAGGGTTGGTGAAGAGAGGCTAGTAGCCTCTTCTGGCTATGTAAGACACATCATGCCACCTTAGGCCCTCCATATGAATCCGTGATCACAAAGTAAATTTGACTGGTTCAGTTTTAGTTTTTTGCTGATGGATTATATATTTAGAAATTAAAATAATATTTATATCCCAAGAGTAATTTTGGCTTTTAGGCGAGGATGCTAAATATATATATATATATACATAATCTGTGTGTTTCATTTATTTGCAGGAAATCATAATAATACAAACAAGGTTTTTGCATTCGCCATCATTCAGATAAAAGTATTTTGATGTTTCCTATCTTTTGACTTTTGTAGAAGTTATATTTATCTTCTAATCTTGTAAATATTTCTAAAACTTTTTATTTAAAGTATAAAAAGTTGTTTTTCTGTCACATAAGCTTATTAATTCTTTATATGTATTGTTTTGTCTGCCTCTTTTAGTCTTGGAGTAAATTTATGAATAACTTCCTCATTCATTCAAAAGCCCTACAAAATTGTTTATCACAATAGAGGAAAGCAAATACTGACAACTAACAAGGTCAGCTGAGGTGTTTAGGGTAGTGGAAAAGTTTTTTTTAAAAAATACCTCATAAGAGGCAAGGTATAGAGTCAAACGATTGTTATTTACCATTGAAACAAATATCAGTTTCAATTTAACAATAAACAAAAAAACATTAACAATTTTTGAAGCATTTTTTTATCATACTTAACCTCATAAAATGCAATCCTACTTTTCTCATTATTGTTTTCAGTATTTGAAGGTACATGTAAATATGTAACTTTTATTCAGCAATAAGCGAAAAAAAAAAAAAAATCTTCTTTTATTATAAAATAATTATTTTATACAATATGAATATACATTGTTTAAGCTTAAGCATTCAGGAGTCAGTCATTGTTTCCCTGTGTATGTAGAAGTTAGTCTGTGTGAAAGGGTCTCATCATGCTCTGTGATTTGATGCTACTTTTATCCTTTGTTTTAAGAATATGCTAATTGCACTGTTGAATAGATTCTTAACATATGTTGATCCATTATTTACAGTAAGGGTGTCATATTAGGCTGCAGGAATATGACTTTAAATTCATCATTATTGAGCTAAACTTTGTTCACATCTGTTTGACCATGAAAATTGTCTTAATTATTGACAATTTACAATTGGTTAATGTCTAAAAAATTCATGTACTACACAAAATTTTCATGAAACTATTCACTGAATAGCTTTTAGATTATCCAGGCCCAATTTTGATATTTATACAAAAATGGGAGATTTGTAATAAAGGCCCTTAGCTTTTTAGTTTTTCCTGTCACAAACAATTCTAGTTCATATATTCTGCCACCATTCAAACTAGTCATACAAGCTATTTTTTTTTTTAATGTTGTAATTGAGTGACTTCCAATCGCTTAAAACTTGGCCAAATTACAATTTTTTTTATCCTTGTCCAGTTTTATAATAATTTATTTTTTTAGTAACAGAGATTTTTTTTCTCTGCCACAGAGTTCAGACTTAATTAAACTGCAAGAATAAGCTTAAAATATTGGCAAAAACGATAAAGTAATAAAAAAGCATGTTTATTTTTTTATGGTTTATTACACCACCCAAAAACAAACTCTTTCTTTTTGTATATTAATAATTCTGGTATAAGGTGTACGATTTCTGACTGAGATAGGGTGAGTACAACTTTTCATCTCCCTCACACACAACATGAATCTTTTACATACTGGACTACTGCATTTGCCTCACTAGCGAGTATCAGGCTATAGCGACTCAACTGTATACTGCAATAAAACCAGCCTTACCCATATCGTTGTCTATAGTATATAACAACTAAGCAGATTTCTGATATCTGTAGAAACCAAAGGAATGTCAATAGAGCTGCTAAAACTAGTTTTTCAAAAAACTTTACTACCATTATTATTTGAACTAGAACCAGCTTTTGGTTTATCCTCTAGAGACCTAATTTGTCTTCAAATTCTTTTTAGGACTGTTGAGAAAAATGCAGTTTTTCAAATTTATTACCACATATGAATTAACTAAATTTAAAATGAAATATTTTTTCCCAGGGATCAAATAAATTTTTTATGGCATTCCAAATCTAAAAATAAATAAATTGAAAATTATGTTCTTGAAGTTGATAAGCTTAACATGTGAATTCTATTTTCTATATTTATTACAAATAATGCTAGTTCAGAGGAATGAATAGAACCATTCATGTAACTTACTTAAATTACATAAATTTAATTACTTATATACATGTAATTTTACATTTCAGGATGAAAAAGTGTAAGTGTGGAACCAAACAAAGAAATATTCTGTTATTTATAACTTATGACTATAGTAATACCTCATGATGAACTCATTTTACATGGAACATTAAATAAATTATTCATTTGACATGAATCTCATACAAGTTTAGGCAACAGTTTAATGAAGTTTACAGCTATTTGTCACAAATTTACTCTAGTACAAATATTTAGTTAACAATTCTTAATCCTTTAATGACGATCAACTCATATATGAGTTGAAAAGGAATCTGGCACAGTTGATGGTGGACTCTTAAATTGAGAGGGAATCAGGTCCAGGCGATGGTGGACCTCATATATGAGTTGATATGGTATCGTGCTCTGGTGACAATGGACTCTTATATGAGTGGAGAGCCTGTCGTGATCTTTTTCTTCCAATGACAGGGTTCATTTGCATAGATGTTAGATTAAAAAAAAATATTAATAATAAAGAACAATGCTTTAAATAAAAATAATTTAGTGATGAATAGAAGTGATGAAAAGTATTTCATCACAGGGAAGCAGAGAACTGTCATCAGATGCCATCTACCGCTCCTCCCTTGCCACTCATCATCACTAAACGGTTAATATCCTCACTTGAATACTTCTTACGGGGTGGCCGAATGGGCTAAAGCGTGTTCACAGCACTGCTAGTTGCCTGGCAACCGGATAACACAGATTTCAGATAATTTAAAAAGTACGAGTTCGCGTCCCGGTGCCGGAGGGGATTTTAAATTCCCTACCCTCACCCCCCGGCCCGGAAAAATCCCGTATAGCCTAATAGGCGAGGTAGGGAAGAACAAATAATTAATTACTTCTTCTCACTTTACATTAAATTTTAACTACTCTTAAATGAAACATCTGTACCCATAAAAAAAAATGTTTTCCTTATTTATATAACTTTTTTTTCATATTCCTAGAAAAACATTCTCATAATTATAAAATTATAATTTACTGTTCTATTTGTTCCATTTAAAAACAATATATGGCTCTCGTTATGTAACTTATATATATTTATGGGAGCTTGTCGAATTCTCTCTATCTAGTTATTCTAGAGACTCTGAGTAGGATTTACAAAAGAGATCTTTGCGACATCCACATCATGCTCTGCTTCTCAACTACTACTGACTTTATGAGAAAACTTAATAGAAACTTTCTTATGCAAAATTGTGTGCTTCAATTTTGTGTATAAAGTATCTTCCGCTACAGTTGATAGTTTCTGAGATATTTGAGAAAAATAAAAAAAGGGACCTTCAAACAGGTCCTCCCCTTTCCCACTGGTAGAATCTTTTAGTAGAACCTAGGACATTCCAATAAACAATTGCACCCATAATCAAAGATTTTTCTTAGCAGCAATTTTTGGCCTTCATTGTCTGGGCTACTAAGATTAAATCGAGTCTCCTTAAGCCAGAACAAAAGATCAACATAGCGAATGGATATGCCTTCCCTTCACTAATATATCCACTGCAGACAGTGCCATTGGCGAAATCCCTAGTAGAATACATAGATCTACAAATGTATAGAAGTTTAATTGCGATGATCAGATTATAGGCCACCACTTGCTCAGCAATGATATATGCATCCCGGTGATATAGGTATCTGAGTTTTTTGCATTTTCAGTGAGTCTCCTCTTCAGCATTGGTCCATTTCTCAAAAAATATCCATTGTGTTGATTGAGGTATCGAAACAAATGACATAGAACCGTCACTTAAAGTTAAGTAAGTTAGATAGTCTCTGAGGAGAATGTTGTCTGACAATTAGTGCCAATGTAAGCGGCTGGGAATTGATATGCCCCATTTTAAATCAAACCCATGGGCTAATAAATCTATATACAATAGAAAAGTTCTTATCGGCTCAGAATGAACCAAAATTGTGAAATTAAGAGAATATCTAACTTACTTAACTTTAAGTGATGGTTCTATGTCATTTGTTTCGATACCTCAATCAACACAATGGATATTTTTTGAGAAATGGACCAATGCTGAAGAGGAGACTCACTGAAAATGCAAAAGACTCAGACACCTATATCACCGGGATGCATATATCATTGCTGAGCAAGTGGTGGCCTATAAACTGATCATCGCAATTAAACTTCTATACATTTGTAGATCTATGTATTCTACTAGGGATTTCGCCAATGGCACTGTCTGCAGTGGATATATTAAGTAAAGGGAAGGCATATCCATTTGCTATGTTGATCTTTTGTTCTGGCTTAAGGAGACACGATTTAATCTTAGTTGCCCAGACAATGAAGGCCAAAAATTGCTAAGAAAAATCTTTGATTATGGGTGCAATTGTTTATTGGAATGTCCTAGGTTCTACTAAAAGATTCTACCAGTGGGAAAGGGGAGGACCTGTTTGAAGGTCCCTTTTTTTATTTTTCTCAAATATCTCAGAAACTATCAAATGTAGCGGAAGATACTTTATACAAGAAATTGAAGCACACTATTTTGTATAAGAAAATTTCTATTAAGTTTTCTCATAAAGTCAGTAGTAGTTGAGAAACAGAGCATGATGTGGATGTCGCAAAGATCTCTTTTGTAAATCCAACTCATAGTCTCTACAATAACTTGATAGAGAGAATTCGATAAGCTCCTCCCATAAATATATATAAGTTACATAACGAGAGCCATATATTGTTTTTAAATGGAACAAATAGAACAATAAATTTTTTATGATTTTATAATTATGAGAATGTTTTTCTAGGAATGTGAAAAAAAAGTTATATAAATAAGGAAAACATTTTTTTTTTTTTTATGGGTACAGATGTTTCATTCAAGAGTGTAGTTAAAATTGAATGTAAAGTGAGAAGAAAAATATATTGAAAAAAATTGAATATACTTCCAAAAAAAATAAAATTTTAAAGATTTATAAAATATTTAAAACTCATTCTCAACTTTCGCACTTCAAAACAATCCCAACTGCTGTTAGTTTTAGAGCTAAACTGAGCTATAAATAATACATGCTGTGCTATCTAGTGGTTTTAGCAACAACCTGTGACTCATGGGGTACCCGGTAGAGAGCTCTTCTGTAACAAGCCGGAGTATTGGTTTTGCGCAACTAAACGATAAAATGCTGAAACCAATATATTGCTCTGCGCACCAGGGGCATGGTCTTTCTGGAGCCACTATTTTGGCATTGCGCGCATTGGTGTCACAGCCGGACCAAGCCATTGACTGCGAATCTAAAAGGTTTACATATTACCAGAAAAATATTTGTTTATTTTTGGTGTGTCATTAATAAGTATTTAATTACTGATCTACATTTAAAGTTTGATTTTATTTTAGTTGATGATCAGTAATATTTAGAAGATTACATTAATGCAAATTTACATTGTATTTAAAAGTTAGTTATTACTTGTTATCCTATAATGTTTATTTTATGTGTATTGGCAAACAGTTTTAATGTTTTGTTGTAGCATAGATTTGTGAAATGGAGGCAGGTCGTGGGCATGTGGGAGGTATGCGTGGGGGTCCAGGAGGAAAAAAAATGAGGAAGAGGAAGGAATTGGATGCACTAGTTGGAGGAGTAGGAGCTAAAAGATCCACTGGTGGATGTAAACGTCCTGGTAGTGGTGGAATTAGCCCTCAAGATCAACTTCTTTCTGAATCTACTGGAGAAGAAGAATATTGGAGTTCAGCTAAGGGGGGGAGTGGAAAAGGAAGAAAACTGTATTGTACTTCTCATGGAAAAAGACATACAAGTGCATGCACTGCTTTATTGAGACTTTGTACCATTCTACTCGTTATGGCATGTGTAGTTGCTACTATAACTGTAATGTGGCTGTTTATTGATATAAAAGAGCAAACTACATCTCTTCGAAGTCAACTCGATCAAGGTTATTTCCATATTATGCTTGCTGTTGTATACTAACTTTGCATTTTAATTGTTTTAGTATATCCTGTCAGCATTATAACTTCTTGCTTTATTTAACTTTTCTTTAAACGCATATTTTAAACAAATTTAATGGGATATCTTCAGTAAACTATAAAACAGTACAAAAGAGTCAACTTCCTTTTATTTCACCTTTTTTTATTAGTTGTTCTTATTTTCTTGAAAAATGTATTGTACTGCTAAAATATTTTACTTTTTTAATAAACTCATCATAATTTTTCTGTTTATAACAAAATTTCAAAATTGTATGATTTCATGTTTCAATTAAACCCATATTCATTTATTAGCTAGCACTGTTCTATCCATGTTATCCAGTTTTCTATTCTTAGATAATTGGATAATTATTGATTAAAATAGATAATAAAATGCACTCAGTAGTTATTGTATATAATAAATATTTTAGTTTTAACTATAGATATGCACCTTATGATTTGTTAATTTTGTGTTATGTATTACTTTAATGTAGTAAAACAAATTTATTTAAGTAGATATTGCTTATTTTAGTACTATTATTAATATTTGTTATGCTTGAACTTCATTTTCTTGGCTTTATTTATTTTGATGATTTTGTTTATATTTTTCCTAATAATTTTTATTTGAATTAATTTGCCAGTATTTAGATATATTAAAATTGGAACCGTAATAGTATTTATCACTATTTACTTGAATGTACATTTAACTTTTAAATCACATTTCATCTTAGTTTCAATCCATGAAGAAAGAGCAGTTTAAATTTATGTATGTTGCTTTCCTTATTTGAGATTTTAGAATCCCAAAACCAATCTACTCTATTTTTAAATTTGTGGGTGTTGATGATCTGAATGTTTTGCATTTTTAAGCAGAAGTAAATATTTTTATTTAACAGTTTTGTTTCTATGTCATCATGAAGTAATTTTTTTTTTTTTTTTCAAAAACTGTTAAATTACATGTGATTTCACCTCATTATAATATATTACCAAAAGATTAATTAAAACATTTAAAAAATTGAAAATAGAGTTAGCTGGTTTTAGAATTCTACTCATGATTTAGTCATTATTAATGTTTTATGAAATTTATAAGTTAAGAACTTGTGTCGAGAAGTTGTAAAATGGTTAATTATATTTGTTATTTGTATGCTTTAAAAGTCCTGTAAGGTATATTACACAACTATTATTTATTTATCGCGATACAGGCTAACAATGGATCTCGCATATATCACTTCTTGGTCTTTTTTTTTCTCTTTTCTGCCCATATTCTTTTCGTTTTTTCTCCCATCTCCCTCCTTCTCTCCTCTGTCAATTTTTTACTCTCTTGCTTCCTCTTATCCGCTACATGAACCTTTATATTTTATACTATTTTCCCAAATTTATCTCTATCTTGGTAGTCCTCCTTTTTAATTCCTATTTTTTTCACTTCTTCTTTTTTTTTTGTTCTGGATAAGCTTTTATGTTCTTCAGTCCCATTATTCTATAGAATATTTGTTTGTTCAGCCTATTCTGATCCATTATCTTCATATTCCTGAAGAACTTTAAATCTCCTTTTTTTCGATGAATCCAAGTTCTCAATCTGTTTATGAAGCTCATCATTCTTTTTTAATCGGTCTTATTCCCTCACCTTTCTGGGCCCATATATTATTCTCAAAATCTTTCTTTCTATTTTCAGTAATGATTCCATGTTGGTGAATCCCATAGTCTCCGTCCCCATCGAGTATCACCGGTTTTATGGCTGTTTCATAATGTCTAATCTTGGCTTTGCAGGAAAAATTCTTTTTATCATATAAATTCCGGACTAAGAACCTTAATTTATCCAATTTTACTTCCCTACTCTGTGTTGCTTGTATGTCTCCCCCATTGTAGTTTACGAGTTCCCCTAGGTATTTAAACTGTTTCACCAATCGATTTTTCCTTATTTAGTCTTGATTTTTTTTTTCCCCATATCATTAGTCATTATTTCGGTTTTTTCAAATGATATTTTCAACACGGCTCTTTCTGCTATTTCCTCTAGTTCATTTATCTTATTAACTGCCTCTTGTTCGCTTTCCTCCATAAGTGCTAGATCATCCGCAAAAGCCAAGCACCTGATTTTTACTCCTTATCTTTCCCCTCCCCCCAATCCCTACACCAGATTTATTTGAATCCCAAAATTGTCTCATAATTTTTCTTTTTTTTTTAATAATAGATAATCCCCTACCCACCAATTCTGGCATACGGGAGGGGGCGGAGAGGGAGGGATTGTATAAGTACAACTAAACCTATTCTAACCAGAGAGGAAGGGTAGAGCTTTATTCCGTGGGTATGAAAGTCAACCCCTTCCAGGCCAGATTAGAACTGGCATCGCTAGACACGTGGATGTTAGAATGGGCAACTCTCCAATACACTCGGTCATCATGACCTCTTCTTATAATTTTGTCCAAAACTATATTAAATAAAGTAGGTGATAATCCATCACCTTGTCTTAAACCTGTTTTAAGTTTGAATGGTTTACTGATTTCCCCCTTGAATTTAATTTTAAAATACATATCAGTTAAAGTTAGTTTAATCATATTTATAGTTTTTTGATCTACTTCGTATTCCCTCAATATCCGAACAAGTATTTCTCTATCTACCCAATCGTAGGCTTTCTGGAAATCCACAAAGGATACATAAATTTTCTTCGATCTAATCATGTAGTATCTCAAAATTAATTTTAAACTCAGGATTTGTTCCAGACACAATCTCCTTTTTCTAAATCTTCCTTGGTATTCTCCTATCTGATGATCGATTTGCGGTTCCAATCTATTTAACAGAGCTCTCGACAGAATCTTGTAAGTCGCTGAAAGTAACGAATCCCCTCTATAATTATTTGTATCTGTCTTCGCCCCTTTTTTTTTTCGTGCCGTTTTCCTTCCTCTGGTATTTCTTCTTTCTCCCAGATTTCCTGCATCAATTCTGTAATTTTAATAATATACCCTTCTTCCGTGCATCTCCACATTTCGGCTATTATTCCGTTAGAATAATCATGTGTTCTGTTTTCTGAAATTTCCTCCATTTATTTATATTACATTTATAATATTGGCTTTTATATATATATATATATATATATATATATATATATATATATATATATATATATTTACAACTTTTCCTTCATCGACCTTTGAGTATTAAATTCAAACTTCACTATTTTATTGGGAATAAGGTCACTTAATTATTATTTAATAAACTAATTAATGTTCATTTCTTCTGTTTATTGACGTTTCGATCCCGGTATTTTCTTTTTATTAGTCAACCATGGGATCCTCTTCAAAGCTAGAACTACAAATAGCTCAATCGATACACAATATTACTTCCATATGACTCTAATAACAATTATTTCAAAATGTTTAACCTACTTTAAAAAAATAGAGCTTCGATCAGGCCAGGGACACACCGACAGCCTCAGCACCGTCCACTAGCACATATATTAAGCTACTGGATCGCTAAGCGTCTACCCTCCCCGGTCCTGAGCCCGAAGACAAATTATTACACAATAAACAATGAAAAATCGCATCTATTTTATATAAAACAATTGAAAGATGCCTCTATGACCAATATACCAGCATCAATAAAACATATCTATGAATAATAAAAACAGCTTGTATAATTCAGACACCATCTTACTGAATAAGATTTGAGCACTCAGTAAGATGGTGTCTGACAAAGAGGAGTCCTATTCTCGGAGAAGGTTGACATGAGACGAAGAACAAGAACACTGTTCTTATCCTTTATGTTTTTTAAATAGACAAAAATAATTAAAGAGATGAATATGGTGCATGGACACCAAAAGCTTCTCTACAAATAAAGTTTTTAAAATAAAATAGAGACTGTCAATGATAAAAAATCCTGAACTTACAAGAACATATAAACAGTCTAAATTTACCTAATAAAGCATTAATATTTTACAAGACAATAACTGAAAGGGAGATTTTTCAATAAGTCCATACTCAGTGTACATGCAGCAACGCCAGAAAAAACCGATGAAGGAGAAATTTTATGCACAACTAGAAAGGACATATGATAAATTCCCCATATGATAAAAGGGGATTCCAGTCCCCAAGTATGAGTAAGAACTGTTTACATCTACAAAAATAAAATTAAAAAAAAAAATATATATATATATATGTATTTATATGTATATATATATATATATATATATATATATATATATATATATATATATACATACATACATTGATATATATATGTATATATTATAAATGTAATATAAATAAATGGAGGGAAATTTCAGAAAACAGAACACAGGATTATTCTATAGAGCATTCAAAAACAAAATTAAAGGGTAAACAGCTCCAAACCTAAATTTTCAGAGAAAAGGCGGGAAAATGGCACAAAATGACAGGAGAAATTGCGAGATACTTACTGAATATTTTAAGAACTTACTAAACTTTGAAAAACCTACCTACTACCAGACTAGAAACGAATACAGACAGCCCATAAAACCTGAATAGTTCACCACCTACAATTGAGGAAATTAAGGAGATCATATACACATTAAAAGATAACAAAGCTGCTGGGGAAGACAGAATAATAGCCGAAATGTGGAGATGCACGGAAGAAGGATATATTATTAAAATTACAGAATAGATGCAGGAAATCTGGGAGAAAGAAGAAATACCAGAGGAAGGAAAACGGCAGTGATACATCCGCTACATCAAAAAGGGACAAAGACAGATACAAATAGTTATAGAGGGAATTCGTTACTTTCAGCGACTTACAAGATTCTGTCGAGAGCTCTGTTAAATAGATTGGAACCGCAAATCGATTATCAGATAGGAGAATACCAAGGAGGATTTAGAAAAAGGAGATTGTGTCTGGAACAAATCCTGAGTCTAAAATTAATTTTGAGATACTACATGATTAGATCGAATATAATTTATGTATCCTTTGTGGATTTCCGAAAAGCCTACAATTGGGTAGATAGAGAAAT